TCCCGGCGGCCGAGCGGAGAGGGGAGGGGGCAGCGCAGGCGGTTGCAAACCACGTGCGTGCGTAAACAGTAATTTCTCCAATTATAAACATGGAAAATACAAAATTATTTCCTTCAATTCCTGTTTGGAAAATAAGTCACATCATACATCTTGTTTTGGATTTTGTCATTATGGAACTGAGAATATTACTATATTGTTTCTTCAGGAGTACAATGTAATTGATATTCAACTGTTACTTACACGAGCACTGTAATATAAAGCATTATCTAGCACAATAACAGACGGTTCATCAAGTTTTGGATATAGAGTATTCTCCATCCATTCCTTAAACGTCTCACCATTCATTGTTCCATGGTACTCTTCACTACTATTTTGCGATGGAAAAACAAGTTCTGCATCATCCACCAAACCCTTCTTAGCTCCTGCATGTAAAACTATGTAATGTTGTCCTTCACTCAGATTCTTTCTCACATAGCTAATAATATTGTCTTGCCGAGTCTTGGTAGCATAACCTAGCTAATTTTTCCGATGTCTTTGCCGAAACTTTCACATTGTCTATTATACACGCCCTTTTCGATTTTTCTTCCGAGGAGTCCTCAATTCATTTATGTACAGTTTATAATACCTAAAACCACATAATTCCTAGTTACATTTTTATCAGTTGCACTATGTCATTAAAGTGTAATTGTAAAAATATAAGAGCTTACTTAAGAACTGTATTTTTGCTCAGATTCAGCAGTTCTGCTGTGAGCATAAGAACAGATCCTGCTTCCAGTCATCCTTGTCTTGTCATTTGTTCTATTTTCCTCGCGCCCACTCTGGCTTATCATCGTTCACAATCGCGTTAAAATTATATAAAAAAGCACGGTATCACGAAAAGCTCCCAAACACAGCTCGCCATTCTCCAAAGAGAGCAGATACGGGAACACGTGCACCGTTGTCAGTACGCATCTCACATTCAAGACTATTTTAAAACAAGCAATACTTATCACATAGAAACTAAATTCAGTTGGGATAATTCGACAGCTAGTGTTGGCAACACATTATAAAGAAAATCGTTCTATAGTGGCGGACGCTTCAGTCAGTTTGCCTGCACTTAACTCGCCTTGCCACGTATTCCATTCCACGTTGGTGATATGTCACTCGGTTCTTGGAGCAGTGTCACTTTCTCAGTCAAAAGTGACTCGACGCCTGACCTCTTACACAAATTATTTTGGTGAATGATATAAAATTAAATCCATAAATTGTTCAAGTTGATAATGTAAATATACAAAATAACTTTGCTTACCTTCCTCGTTTGCCTCTCTCTGCATTGCCATCCGTGTGTCCCATTTCTTTAGCACTCCCATTAGGTGACTTTACGGTCCTTCTGCTAAATGCTTTACTTGTTCCCTTCCTACATTTTCTGTCAATGTATTCCATTGATCTGGATGTTCGAATACTACTACTCACAGCTCCACGCAACAGAATGATCTTTTCTGCATTTGTAATTCTCAATCGCTCACTACTAGCAGCCATTTTGTCAGTTTCGTTGTTGGGTTGACGACGGCGCGTGCACTATGCATTGAGGAATAGTCGTTCCTTACGCGTAGGATAAGACGTTTCAGCGGTAAAGTGCTGCACGTCCGTTTCATAAGTGGGCAAAGCAATCACAGAAAAATACATACCGTTTGTCTAGCTTGTTTGATGAAGCTAAAGTAAACAGTTCCTGGTGAAGTGCATCAGCCCTAAATGGAATATTGTGGTTTTCCTGAAAGTGTTTTAGTTGTTATTTTATGAACATTCTTGTGGGTAATCTCCCCAATTGTAAGCATAGAAAATACAAAATTATATCCTTAATTTCCTGTTTGGAAAATTAGTCACATACTTGTTTGGTTTTTATTTTGCATTTCGTAATTTCAGAAATGAGAATATTACTATTATATTGTTTCTCGAGGAGTACAGTGTAATTTATAATCAACTGTTGCTTACATGAGCACTGTGATATGAAGCATTATCTAGCACAATAACAGACGGTTCATAAAGTTTCGGAAGTAGAGTATTTTCCATCTATTCCTCATACATCATCCCATTCGTTCCATGGTACTATTCACTACTATTTTGCGATGGAAAAACTAGTTCTGTATCATCCACAAAACCCTTACCTCCTGCATGTAAAACTATGTAACGTTGACCTTTACTTAGATCCTTTCTCACACAGCTGAAAATACTTGTCTTGCCGAGTCTTGGTAGCATAACCTAACAAAAAAAGTTATACAAATATACATATCAGTTATGTAAAGAGCACTTTATAAAGTACACACATGTCTACAATTACCTTTTGAAAAACACTGTCTCATCTAAGGAAACAATATTACTATCTATATTTTTCAAATTTTTATACTGCTGTAAATATTCTATTCAATGAGCACAAATATCCGCTTTGTCTATCCAGGCCCTTGGATGGTCAGTCTCCTACCATGAAAAACCCATCTCCAATAATAATCTTCCCAATGTTGTTTTGCTATCTGAAAGTCCCACATCCTCATTTTTTCTCACTTCCACGATCTGGGAATCTAATGACACATGTTCGCCTGAAAAGAAATTATGAATTCAAATGGGACCTTCAATAGAATTATTCTGGTCAAGTAATGAAATATAAATTGAAACTTGCCATATTCACACATCCCGTACATAATTTTTTTGATGAAGCCTTTGTGGAAATCGTCCGCATTGTGTATTACACGCGTTCTTCGGTTTTTCTTCGGTGGAGTCCTCAATTTATTTATGTTCTGTTTATAATACTTAAAAACAATTCCTAGTTACATTTTTTCAATTGCACTATGTTATTAAAGTGTAATTATAAAAAATAAAAGCTTACTTAAAAACTATCTTTGCTCGAATTCAGCAGTTCTGCGGTGAGCATAAGAACAGATCCTCCTTCCAGCCATCCTTGTCGTTACATGTGTTCTATTGTCCTCGCAATGGATGTCTTGCCGCTGGCGTGAACAAGGAGGATGCACTTTGCGCCCACTCCGGCTTCTCATGGTTAGCAATCGCGTTACAATTATATAAAAGAGCACGGTATCACGAAAAGCTGCCAGACACAGCTCGCCAGTCTCCAAACAGCGCAGAAGCCGGAAGCACGTGCACTGTCAAAAGTACGCATCTCACAACAAACAATACTTATCACATAAAAACTAAATGAAGTGTTGCCAGTACTAGCTGTCGAATAATCCCATTCTAAAGAAAATCTTTCTATATTGGCGGGCGCTTCAGACTGTTTGACCGCCACTAAACTCACCTTCCTTTCCACGTTGCTGATATATCACTCGGTTCTTGGAGCAGAATCACTTTCTCAGTCAGAGGTAACCCGACACCTAACTTGTTACCCAGAATATATTTTGGCGAGTGAAATAATATTCACCATATTGTTCAACTCAATAATTTTAATAGACAAAATAATTTTGCTTACCTTCCTCATTTGCCTCTCTCTGCATTGCCATCCATGTGTTCCATATCTTCAGCAGTCCCATCAGATGACTTTAACGATCCTTCTGCTAAATGCT